CACATTCCTGCACAGCTAAAAACCTGGAACGTCAATGTGGCATTTAAAAACTCATGCACTGTTAAACAAATGTTAATCAAGAACTCCCCCAACAACACAATTGGTTGCATTTATAAAGTTCCTTGCAAGGAATGTAATATGTTTTACTTAGGCCAGACAGGTAAAGATCTTGCAACTAGAATTAAGCAACACAAATACAGTGTTAGGACAGGCCAGGAATCCAATGCTCTGTTTGTTCATTTGAGGGATAACAAGCATTGCATTGGCTGGGATAATGCCTCCTCAATATTACCATGTAATTCAATTGATAGTAGGAACATCATAGAATCTAGTCTTAGTAAACATACCGAAGCATTCAACATGAATTTGAGTAACGGCATGTACAAGCTGGACAATTTTGTAATTAAGAAGATTTGTGATCAGGTGAGAAGGCCGGGTCACTTGACCATCTGACCTGACCACCAACCGTTGTGTGCTATTTAAAGATTAGTAGGGTCATTACCTAATACCTGACCATTGTGGACCTGGTCTCACCCTCCTCTGTATATATACACCTTGATTTGTATTACTCTCTCTAGTCTGTACTCACCCCTGAAGATGTGAATTACACGAAAGCGCTTGGGAACTTCGTGTTTTCTTCTTTCCTTGTGGTTATCAGCATATACCTAGATCACGCACACCTACAGTGATTTACTTGCATATATATATATATATATATATATATATATATATATATATATATATATATATATATATATATATATATATATATATATATATATATATATATAATTGTTTCTCCTAAGGTATCAGATAGAGAGAGGTCAGTTCAGCACAATAAGTGAAGAGGATGTTAACTTCTTCACTAATCTACTTGGTCACCATCGGGTCATCAATGACGAGACAGAACTTGAAGGCTACAATATTGACTGGTTAGGAATGGTTCGAGGAGCATCATCAGTGCTACTTAAGCCTAAGACAACTGAGGAAGTCTCCACTATTTTGGCTTATTGCAACAAGCGTAAATTAGCAGTCTGTCCTCAAGGTAAGTGACTTGTAGGACACTAGAACAATTTCCTCTGATTCTCTTATACATTTATTTTTATATAAAGGGGATTGAATAAATTTAGTTTGATATACTGTACATACTGTACTGTATAAGGGATGAATTGTGACACATTTTGTAATTAGGGACAAACAAATACTGTATTCCTGTAATATAAGAACATCTTGACCATGATTTCCACCACACACTTTTATTTTTATGGGTGGGCACTCTTTTTTTTTTTTAAGAAAAAATGCCCAATTGCATGATATTCCATCTCTTGTTTTTACATTTTTTTTATTCACTAAAATCTTATTACAGTGGTGTTGATGCTAATACAGTAATACCCCAACTAGCACTACCCCATAGAGCACTGTCTCATTATAGTGCTCTTGCTTGCATCTAGCAGCTCTAGAGAAAAAAGAGAAAAACAAACAAAAGAAGTCAAAGTCACGAGTACATCACGCAAAGTGCAGCTGTCTTTGTTTTTGTGCACTCAGTCAATCAGCACCAAGCGCTCTGTTTACAGCCTGCAGTACAAATTTGCTGCACTTATATTGTGGACACATTTTTGTTGACCCACTGTCTTTATTTATATATATATATATATATATATATATATATATATATATATATATATATATATATATATATATATATATATATATATATATATATATATATATATATATATATATATATATATATATATATATATATATATATATACAATATTATATATACAGTATATATATATATGTATATATATATATATATATATATATATATATATATATATATATATATATATATATATATATATATATATATATATATATATATATATATAATAATTTGAATATAAACGTCATATATTTTGCACAAGTGATAAAACTTTTAGTACATTAGTTTAGTACATTTTAGTCATGTACTTTAACTTCAGTAACAAAGTCTGGTACAGTACTTTTTACAACTCTGTATACAGTACGGTATTACATCTTAAGGGTCTTATGGGAACAGACCTTGAGTAGGACATTGTAATTTGACTAAACAAATATTTTATATGCATACTAGTTTCATTAGATGTAATTTTACCTACAGGTGGCAACACAGGATTGGTTGGAGGAAGTGTTCCAGTGTTTGATGAGATCATTATCTCAACTGCCCTCATGAATAAAGTTGAAAATGTAGACACTTGGTTAGGAGTTGTAACCTGTCAGAGTGGTTGTGTCTTAGAGGCTCTTGATGAACATGTCTCTGAGTATGGGTTAATGATTCCATTGGATCTTGGGGCAAAAGGCAGCTGTCACATTGGTGGAAATGTTTCTACTAATGCAGGTAAAACAAACTTTGAACATAATGTATGGAAATACTGATTATTTATCTCACCTAAGATTTTGTGATTCTGTATATATATATATATATATATATATATATATATATATATATATATATATATATATATATATATATATATATATATATATATATATATATATATATATATATATATATATATATATACATACACACACATATACAGTGAACCCTCACTTTACACGGTCAGTTGAACCCACGGAGGCCCGCGTAAAGTGAACAACAAACATATGGGATTAAATGAAATAGAGACCGGCTGACCCCCAAACTCCACTTTTTCCGACACAATACCTATGTTCTAGTAAAAATAACATCTTAATTTTATGATGGTACATGCACACAATTAATACTTAAGAGAAATACAGTCGCCAAGTTAATGTCCATTCAAATAATGGACTCAACTCCCTCCCCCTCTTCTCACACTCCTGGCTCTTCCCTCTCTGAGAAATGTTTGGGGGAAAAACCACTAGATTTTAAGGTATAGTAATAAATAATACCTCAAACTAAAGTTAGGATAATATAATTGACATTGCTGGATTCCTTGTAAGACCAGGAATATTTTGAATATAAATGTCATATATTTTGCACAAAAGATAACATATTTACTCAGAGTAAACAAAATACTTAAAGTAGATCTAAAATTTGTATGCCTAATGCAAAATCTATGATGTTTATATTCAAAATGATCATCAAATTGTAAGAATTCCAGCAATGTAAATTATATTCTGGCCCGGTAATTTGTATGAATTTTATGAGCTAAAACAAATATCTTCAATAAATAAACAAAATATACTTACCGAAATACTATCTGTCAATCAAAATACCCCACCTCCCCCCCTCTTCCCACCTGCTCCCTGGGTCCCTCCCTCCCTCCCTACCTGTCACCCCCACCTTCCCTCCCTACCAGAGAAATGATTGGGTTATAACAGTATATTTACATTTTTAGTAATAAATAATTCCTCAGACTAAAGTTAGGATAATATAATTGACATTGCTGGATTCCTTGCAAGACCAGGAATATTTTGAATAGGGTATACACTTCATATATTTTGCACAAAAGATAACATATTTGCTCTGAGTAAACAAAATACTTGCATTAGATCTAAAATTTGTATGCCTAATGCAAAATCTATGATGCTTATATTCAAAATGATCATCAAATTGTAAGAATTCCAGCAATGTAAATTATATTCTGGCTGGATAATTTGTATGAATTTTATGAGCTAAATAAAAAAATTATACTTCACCCGCGTATATGAGTAGATGCACCGAGTAAAGTGGGAATTCCGGTTCTGGCAGGGTACTGCGTAAATGTAGAAACGCGTAAAGTGAAACCGCGTAAAGCTGTTTAGCGTTCCCTGGTCACAGTCATGGGCTAGTGGGCCGTGGGTTCGAATCCTGGCGGGTTGAGGTGTTGATTGTATGTAGAAGTCCGCGTGCTATTGGGCTAATGAAATATATATGGATCCTCGTGTTTCGAAGCCGGATTTGGTAAAACGTTACTCTGGCCACCTACGTGATACGGGTAGTCCCCATTAGAGGTTCACGGCGCCATAAGCTCGTTGAACAGGCTTTTTGTGAAATATAACAAAGTCTAGGACTGCTTTAGTATCCTGTTGGTGCGATTAGCGTTCCCAGTCTGATCTGAGGCTAGTGGGCGTGAGTTCAATCCTGGCGGGTTGAAGTGTTGATTTTATATATATATATATATATATATATATATATATATATATATATATATATATATATATATATATATATATATATATATATATATATATATATATATATATATATATATATATATATATATATATATATATATATATATATATATATATATATATATATATATATAATATATATATATATCACAAGAAAAAAACTTTTTTCTCCTTGTCAAATTATCACAAATCCCTACAGTTGCGCATATGTATATATAGAATACTGATAACCACAAGAAAGAAAGAAAACCTAAAGTTCTAATAGCATCTTAAATTATTTATTATTATTATGTATCGTGTATTGATATGAGTGATATTTATATATATATATATATATATATATATATATATATATATATATATATATATATATATATATATATATATATATATATATATATATATATATATATATATATATATATATATATATATATATATATATATATATATATATAATATATCTGTATTGCTCTTTGTCTGAGTTATGTTTACATACTCATAATTACTATTTCACTTAGTTTTGTTTGTTTTGTTTTTTTACTTTCAGGTGGACTGCGTCTTCTCCGTTATGGAAGTCTCCATGGATCTGTCTTAGGTGTTGAGGCAGTTTTGGCATCAGGTGAAATAGTGGATTGTTTATCAGCAATGAAAAAAGACAATACAGGCTATGACCTTAAGCAGCTCTTCATTGGCTCTGAAGGAACACTAGGATTAGTAACCAAGGTCACGGGTATCACTGATGTTTACTAGTACAGTTGATCAGAATCTTGAATCTTTGGGTTGGTAAATTAGCACCTTATTGCCTATTTAGAGAATTTCATCCTTTTGGTGGATGAATAATAAACTTCTTTCTTTCCAAATTAACCCCAGCTTCTCAAAACTTACACCTCAACTTTTTGCATTCTACAATTACAAGCTCCTAACCTGATACAAACCCATATGTCACAAAAATACAGAAATATGGGATGAGTCACTTCCAATAAATTTTAAAAAATTTGATGATCTGCATTTCATGTTCAGAAAATAGCAAGGATTTCTAAAGGTACAGTATTGCACTAGGGCTGTCAAGACTAAATCCGTTAAAGAATCTGATATGCACTGAATGGTAATACTGTACAGTACACTACTATAGAGGCTTACCAGTCTTTAATCCATCAAACCGCTTATACAGATATAATAAAGCTACAGTTTTACTTAATGAGAAGCAAAATTTTTGTTTGATGCAAAGAATAATGTCTCCCATTAGCCAGATCCCGGTCACCAGAACTCCAATAGCAGGAATTGAAATTGAGCTAGAAAAATTCTGGGAAAACTCTCCATTCTGGGCATGGGAACAAGTTTTTGAGGAAAAAAAATCAGACGCATTTTCCAGTAAAATTCAGAGAATGTATATATACAAACCTCTCTGTTCTGGGCCTGGGAACAAATTTTCTGGGAGTTGCCAGAGATTGCATCATGCTCTGACATCCCCACATACCAGGCGCATGGATGGGCTGTCTGTTTGGGTAACTAAGGCTGTAGGCTCATGCACTTAATTCATATTTTGCTGTCATTGTAGAAGGTTGTTCCTTCACTAGTTACTGTTCTTGCATACAATTTGTGTTGTGCAGTACTGTACATAAGAACATAAGAAAATAAGGAGTCTGCAGTGGGCGGTTGGCCTGTGCATGGCAGCTCCTGTCGAGCTACTACCGCTCTCTATCATCCATGAATCTATCTAGCCTCCTTTTAAAACTTTCCAGCATTCCAGCACTTACTACAAGGTTGCTAAGCTTGTTCCACTTGTCCACCACCCTATTTGTGAACCAGTTCCTTCCTGTCTCCCTCCTAAACCTGAACTTATCCAACTTAAATCCGTTGCTATGAGTCCTATCCTGCTCGGATATTATAAGAACTTTATCTATATCGCCTTTATTGATTCCTTTCACCCACTTAAATACTTCTATCATATCTCCCCGCACTCTTCGTCTTTCTAGGAATGCAAGTTTAGTTTCTTTAACCTATCTTGATATGGAAGGTTTCTAAGTCCCGGAATCATTTTCATCATTCTTCACCAACTCCAGTGAATTGATATCCACTCTATAATAAGGGCACCAGAACTGGCATAATCGAGGTGCGTACACTAGCGCAAGATATAGTTGCAATAAGACCTCTGCACTCTTATTACTTACACTTCTAGATATAAAACCTAATACTGTACTCTGTTTGCCTTATTTTGAACATTAACGCACAGTTTTCTAGGCCGTAGGTCCGGGCTTGCAAGTACCCCTAAGTCTCTTTCACAAGTCGACTTCTCTAGGTTGATGTTGTTAAGGCTGTATACATTGACAGTATTTGTTCTTCCAATATTCAGTATGCTGCACTTGTTAAAGCAGTATTAGGATGTAAAAAGTGATTACAGTTGCATATACTGTACTGTACATTCAGTAAGTGTGAAACACTGGAGCACCTTAAGTTTCCTCATTATTCAAGACACCACATTGAATCAGGTCAGGTCATCATGATACCCACGAGTCCCCACCCCACCTCCACCACAAATGAGAGAATGGTAAACAGTAAACACACTGAGTACTGGGCACCTGAGTAACGACAAGTCCAAGTAATGGCCTGAATCTAGGACAAAATTATTTTTAAATATGACAAAATATCTTAGTATCTTGCGCATCATTCTTAATGTCATGGAGGCATCGCGGCTGCCAGCCCAGCCAAGCCCACAACAACAATGCAGAATTACAAAGGATTAGAACCTAGTCCTTTTTACTCATTCTTAAACCAACCTATAATTCGACTGTAGGTTTGAAGAAATACTAGGTATAATCCTAAACATAATTTGTAATCGAGGTTTATATATATATATATATATATATATATATATATATATATATATATATATATATATATATATATATATATATATATATATATATATATATATATATATATATATATATATATATATATATATATATACAGTGTATTGTATAAATTTTACAGTACATCTCCATGGAGATGGCATGTTGCTTTAGAATATAACAAAATTAAGAGCATTTGTATGTATGTGTGTGTAAACTGAAGGTGTTTGTGGACTTGGCGTGTTGCCAAGCTCGACTGTACCTGTAACTACATCCCCCTAGCTATCCCCCTACCATGCATGTACAATTGTTCATTCAGAATGTGGAAAAAGAAAGAAATGATTATCAGATTATCAAAGGTCCAAAAATCATAATGGGAGTTCATGGGAGTTAGCCCATGACAGGAGGAGGGTGGACCGCATTCCAATCTCCCATGTCCTTAGTTAAATGATGGGTAAATTGCAATGCAGTATTTTCTTTGTTTTATTTATTAGTATTATATTTTATTTATTCCTCACATTTATGGGGAGGAATATATTGAACGAGATGGGTAAAGATGCCAGGCTAATCTCTGGATACAAAACTAAAGGCTGCAGTTGATGAAATGATATACTGAGTCAAAACAATAGATACATGGAATCTGAGGATGGGAAATCTATGGTTGGTGAAGGTCTACTGTACAGTACCCTAATGGAGAGTTGTAGTTTTAAAATTGGCAGAGTAACATGAATGATTTAAGCATAAAGTATCAAGGGTTTTGTACAATGCTACAGGTCATGTTGTGCCCTTGTTACTAGAGGTGCAGGGTCACCAAGAGTAGGGGTTAAGCCAGTATTCAGCTCAACACTACAAAATTGTGTGGCAGTGGGGAGCTTGTAATTTTAATATCTTAAGAGTCCTTTTTTTTTTTTTTTAGCTGGACTAACTTTCCTAGTGGCAGCTGCAGCATTTATTGGAATACCTCACATGCTCTAATTGGCTTCACTTACACATGTTGCCTGTTTAATTGGCATTAGGCTATACAGTATGTATATGGTGAATGGTCTTAGAATTCCATTTTATGACTAAACCCAGAACTACCCAGTAGGCAACTTATACTGTACTGTACAGTACTGTATAACCTCCTTACCTATCAGTGGGTAGTGGGAAGTTAGCTGGATCTGAGGATTGAGAAATGCAGTGTGTACATTCTAATGGGCCAATCGCCTTTTTTTATTTCTTTGTCATAAATGATACCATTCCTGCGAGACCATCTGTATGCGCATCTAGTTTCAAATTTAAAAAGTTAACCCCTTTGGAAGATTCAATAGAAATTGATATCACTTGGTAACAATTATGTAAATGGGTGTGTGATTTTGCGTACAGGAAAATAGTTCTGCTCTGTTGAGTCTCACCTGTAGGGCCTGTGTATCTGATAATTGAGAGAATAGTTATAGTTAGCTTTGAAATTTGGTAGAACACTTCAATGTTCAAGATGAAAAAAAACACATCATCATATAAATGACTCTGACCATGTCAGAGGCTTAAATAGACTATCAGGGTTCCATTATAAACTATAGTAAGATTTCCTGTACAAAGTTGAATGTTGTGGTGGTACTGGAGGATGGATACTTAGGGAGAATGATTTTTATCCCTCTTTTCAGATTGCCATCAATTGCCCCCCAAGACCGCAGTCGGTAAATCTAGCATTCTTGGGTCTTGAAACCTTCGATGATGTTCTTAAAACTTACAAAGATGCAAAGAAGAAACTAGGGGAGATTTTAAGTTCATGTGAATTCATTGACCAGAGTTCCATTGAATGTGTGGAGAAGAACTTGAAGCTGAAAGCACCAATAGGTGCACATCCATTTTATATGTTAATTGAGACATCAGGTTTGTGTTTTGTGGATTCTTGGGGTAATATGTGAAATTTCTTAAAAAAGGGGGGGGGGCTTTGATGATTTATTTATTTTTTATTTTTTTATTTAACTATAATGTAATTTGAACTTCTGGGAAAATATGTAAATATTTGACCATAACTTTTTTTCAGGATCCAATGGGATTCATGATGAAGAGAAGTTGAATGTCTTCCTTGAAGAGGCATTAGGAGCTGGTTTGGTTACAGATGGCACAGTTGCTACAGAGCCATCACGAATGCACCACATATGGAGCATTAGAGAAAGAATCGCAGAGGCACTTATTAATGATGGCTGCACTTACAAGTTGGTTTTTATGTATGCCCTGCATGTTTGCACTTGAAGTAGTTTTGTTATTCTCCTAACATAAATGTATATCCAACTCTCAATACATAAAGGTGATTGTCTATAACATCCAAAATCTTCAATCCTGCAGTTTCTGTACACTGAATGCATTTGTAATTGTGTTCAACGTTTATTACAGTGAAACCACAATATATGGACCTCAGCTTTAATGGACACTTTGACCTGTTTGGACTCGGTTCATATATTACGGACTCAGGTCCGTGAAAGTAGAAAAAATGGACTCGGGTCCATTATAGTAAAAAAAAATTACGGATTAAGTTCATATCCAAATTATCATAAATAAGTACCCGAAATGCGTTCTCATCCTTTAAACACAAGTTGATGATGGTAAATGGTGGTAGTGGTGAGTGATGGCGATGGTGAATATTAGTGGTGAGTTGTGGTGGTGGTGGTGGTAGTAAATATTAGTGGTGAGTGGTGTTGGTGAATATTAGTGTGGCAGTGAGTGTTGGTGCCTGATGATGAGTGTTGATGGTGATGGTAAATATTAGTGGTGATGGTGAGTGTTGGTGGTGAAGGTGGGTGTTTGGTGCCTGATGATGAGTGTTGGTGCCTGATGATTAGTGTTGGTGGTGATGGTTAGTGGTGGGTGTTGTTGGTGAGTGGTGGGGGTGATGGTTAGTGGTGGGTGTTGGTGGTGATGGTGAGTGTTGGTGGTGATGGCGAATGGTGGCAGTTAGTGTTGGTGGTGAAGGTGATTGTAAGTGGTGATGGTGGGTGTTGGTGGTTATGGTGAGTGTTGGTGGTGAAAAGTTACCCACGTGGTCACTTCAAACTATGACAGTATTTAATGGAGCGAGTCCGTTATTATTCCAGATTCAAATATAACAAACTTTCGGCTTTAACAAACCGCCCTTCCCCACAGTTAGTCTATTATATTGGGAGTTTACTGTACTCTGTATAAAGGAAGTTAAAGACAACTCCAGGTTTCAAACATTCTGACAATGACTTCTTTCCATTTCTAACTGGTTAAGATAATTAAATTGCACATGCCAGACATTAGGCTGTAAATGATGTATTGAGCCTGAAAAGGACAACTTTTATTCCCTACCTCCTCCCTCTGAGGTGATCTGAAACTAGGGGTCATCCAATGAAATTAAATTTTAAGTTTTAGTCACATGAAAGTTGAAAAATTTATTTACTGTATTAGTGTGACGATGATGACTCCAAGATTTCAGCCTTAAGTGGTAATTACATTTTCTTCCCAGACTTTTAATATTTTTATTTTTATTATTAAGGAGATAGAGTTATTATAGGAAAGTCAACAAACTTTCAATCAATTCCAGTCAACAATATCAGGAGTCCTGGGAACACTTGGATTTCAACCCATAGGCTTTCATATGAATTGGATATCATGCTAAATTCCTCAATCTTACAATCTATAAAGGTTCAAGATAAACCTTATGTCAACAGTAAAATAGTACAAAAATTAAACTGACCCTGCCCAGTCCGTTTACCTCATATCTAAAAGTTGTTGTCATATTTGTACTTTTAGTCATTCTCTTCAGTGTACTGTAATGTTTTTTAACACACAGCAAAATTTCAGTCTGAAATACTAAATGATTTGAAACCTATTAACCAATTGCAGAGGTAAAGATTCACTCCAATTATTAATGGGTTAGCTGTACATTCTGAATTGAAGAACTGTTAAAACTGCTTATAGATGCATTGATATTGAGAGATTTGGAGTTATTGAGGGTGTGGTATTAGAGATGAAGGAAATAAATATTTAACATAGCGATTTTACTCATGAAAGGAATGATTTAATGTAGTATATATAAAGATTTACAATTTCATTCCTATGGAACTTTTGTGTTGCCATCCCCTTCCTTGTGTTCTATCTAGCTGACTATTAGGAGAGCTGCCTGGTTAAAAGGTAATAGCCAGAAAGGAACGATTGATCTTGAAACCCCATTTGCTGGAAGAGCCCAGAGTTAGGCAGCTTGGGTACTTCTCTCTTCCTCTAAGGTAGAGGAGATTTTGTCACCTGGAACTGGATTCAGAATGGCAGACAGTATGCCTGTCCAGGTTTATTGCTGCTTGGACAGACTTAGTTGTAATAAGACCTCATAATTCCTAGTGGGTAACTTTTGCACAAGTCAACTTCTTTATGGGATGGTGTAGTCAGGAGGGAAAGTGATAGTTATATCCATATGGATTAGCAAATCAATCCTAGCTGATACTTGGAGGTTTATCTAAGGACACCAGACCCCAAGGAAAATGCCATACATCACAAGAATCACCTCTTTGTAGCTTCTGCCAGAAGTTGGTATTTCATGTTCAATCTTCCATTTTTATATCATTTTCAAGTTGTAGTTGAAGCAATAGTATACTGTCATTAATCTTTAAATTTGTGATGAACATTATATATATATATATATATATATATATATATATATATATATATATATATATATATATATATATATATATATATATATATATATATATATATATATATATATATATATATATATATATATATATATATATATATATATATATATATATATATATATATATATATATATATATATATATATATATATATATATATATATATATATATATATATATATTTTACTGCTATTCACTGGATGTTCAGTTGATTGAGAAAAATGAAAACAAGATTCTAACATCTTGGCAGATATGATATATCCCTGCCACTACCACACTTCTACAAGATGGTCGAGGACATGAGAGAACACCTAGGTTCTAACATCTTACGTTGTTGTGGATATGGCCACATAGGCGATGGAAACCTTCATTTAAATATCACCAGCAAGGAGTTTGAGAAGGTTTGTTCTCTTTTTTAATTTACTCCGTACGGTATTTGTATATCTAGAGTGTGTTTTTACCATACAGTATTAAGTTTGTAATATTTGATAAATGTTTATGTATTGTTATGCAACTCTTGTAAAAGTGCTGTAGCAATCAGGAATAGCCTCCCTGCCTGATTTGAGTAGGGATGACAAATTTCTTCTCACATGGTTTTCTTTTGGAAAGGTTTATTACCAACTAAATTTGAATGAAACCTGCTTAAAAACCATGAAAAATTACCTTATCTGGGGAAAGTCTTTGAAAAATACCCTCTTTGATGTTATATTGTCAGGTACATCATTTTCAAAATAGTTTTTACTTCTTACTACACTGATAACATTGTACTATTTAGTTAGATGACTACAAATATGAATGTCAATTTTCAAGACACATTTAGTGTTATAGTACAAAATTAATTATTTGTTCCATGGCTGTACCACTGTACCTACATGTAAGCAAAAATACCTTATTTTATTACATTGTTTAGATTTGCTGCAGGGGCCTGGGATATGGCTAATTGTTATCTCATTGCTTGTAAACATATTCTGGTGGAGGAACCAACCTACATAAACCTTCATATTTGCTTTGGAAATGTATATCCAGAACATGTGTAAATATCTTTATTTTTGAATGGATTAAGGTCACACTCCTATATGTATGCAGCAAATGTACTTTTTATTTTGTATTAAATACTGTAATAGGATAATTTTTACATTTACAGGATCTCTTGAATCTCATTGAGCCTACAATATTTGAGTGGACTGCTAAAGTTAATGGCAGCATCAGTGCAGAACATGGAGTGGGATTCAAGAAGCGCAACTACATACACTATTCAAAATCATCTGGTGCTATAGCTTTAATGAAGCAGCTCAAAGCACTCATGGATCCCAATGGAATCCTTAATCCCTATAAAGTTCTTCCTGATAATTAAGGTTCTTGAATTTTTAATACTTTGTAGCATAGGCCAAATTTTACAGCTTCTAGGGAAAAATCTGTGATAAACATCGTATTTTCTAAATTTAATTGCAAAATCTTGGGAATTTCATATAGTTTTAGGAAATTTGAAGAAAAAAGTTATAGAGTTGGAGAAAAGTTTAGGAATTTCAAGATTAAATCAGTACTGTGGACTGCATCTTTTACATCTTGAAGTGTTCTCAGCATGACTGGGTTCTGAGTTTATAGGAGATATGGCAGTCATTACTGAGCTGTACCTTCAAGGTTGACCTTTCCACTTTAACTACATGTTGATTTTACAGTCTGTTTGCGTATAGAAGTTTATCGAAATGTACATCTCAAAAGAATTCGTGGAAATGGAATTTCTAATTTCCAGAACTAAATATCCTCATTGGCATCCCAAAGATCTAGAAAAGTTAAGAATTTATTTTAGAATAGACTACAGTCAGTCCTCGACTTACGACGGGGTTAGGGACCGACGACCAGGTCGTAAGTTGAATTGTCTTTGTTTTTACCCCATCATTTGAACCGCCTGGGTGCTCAGGCGGTCTTTCACCACCACTATCATCATCCCCTCCAATACCCCTAGTTACTTTTGAGGCCATTAATCTGCACGAGAACACCGTGCCAAACGACAGTGAATAAAAAAAAAGTACACAAAGGCCAAAGTCACTCAAACAAACAGCGGAAATGTGGATTGACTCGGTCATTATGGCTGCCTGAACAGCTGACTGGCTCTTTGAACTCGGTAAATACTCGGCAATAATACTCGCCAGTAGTATTAAGCGAGATTTATCTTGCAATTAATATTCTACAATTATTAGTTGTGAATCCATTTAAATTTAAACTCTTGCCAAAGGTGAGGGTTTGGTCGCCAAAATGGAGGGCAAGGTACTTTGAATTTTGACCGCCAACTTAGAATTCGCCAAACTGGAGGGTTTACTATATAGAATTTATGTTCATTTTTTAATTTCCACATATAGTATTTCATGAAAGTATGTTAAATGAGGAGAATTTGTACAATCAGGCAGCTGGCTGAGTATATTTAATAATAATAATAATAATAATAATAATAATAATAATAAACGGTTTATTAATAGAGTTGCAGCCGGTGGCTGAAAATATACAAACTTATATTTGATTTAGACATAATGATATGCGTTGAATACATTTATAGGGCTGTACAGTACATAAATCAGGAGTTGTTTATTATTTTAACAATAGATAGGATGGTGCTACTCTTATATCTATCGGTGCAGGCTCTTATGGGCTGAATTTTGTTTTAGTGGCGGACTGTGTGAGGTGGGTGGGGGACTGCCGGTGGCAGGAGGTGGCGATGACAAGGATGGTGCAGAAGTCCACTGCCAAACCTTGCTAGTGCTTGGTGGTGGAGGTCACTAAGGGATGGCATTTCCAGTGTGGAGAGAGCGTTGATGTAGCTGGAGTAGTCTGCGCCGAGCATGATTCTGCAGGCCCTTTAATGTACATTCTCTAGCCGACGTTGTTGGGTGGAGTTGAGAGAAGACGACCAGGCTGGTGATGCATACATTAATTTTGGGAGAATAAAGGCGTTGTAGATGGTCCTCAGCTCTGGCTTGGGTGTCCCAAGTGACGTAAGTCGTAGCATGTAGAGTCGGTACAAGGCTGCCTTGATTGTGTTGTTTAAATGGGCCTTCCAGTCCAGTTTGTGGTGAGGAGTTGACACAGTCTTCTCTTGGGTTAAGGAGTAAGTTATTTGGTGCTGTAGGAGAATGATGACACACTGAAAGGTTACTTGTATACTTATTAACATTGCGAGTATTAAAGAATAATGAAATACAGTAAGTTATTGAATCCGTAAGCATACTGGTAAAAAAAAAACAAAAAACAAAAACAAATATATATATATATATATATATATATATATATATATATATATATATATATATATATATATATATATATATATATATATATATATATATATATATATATATATATATATATACCCTATATTATTTTTTCAAGAATTTTTCAACTTTTTTTTTAGACTTTTTACAAATGTGTTGAGGTACAGTTTGCCTATTCTGAGTGATTCAGTCAGGTCTTGACACTCAGGGTGGTATCACTTCTCACTGCCATGCAAGGGTGGTATCACTTCTCATTGCCATGCAGGACAGAGGTTTGTACACAAAGAAATACACCATATTCATTAACAGTATATATAGGTCAGAGTCATGTGGGTGATGTCACTGTTCACTGCCATGTAGGACAGTGGTTCATTTACATTGAACGTCATATTTTAATTGAAGACTAATCAGTGTGGACTAGCAAATTTTGGATAAACAGCAAGAATGTCCTCAAGCACCCCTGATTCAATGTAGTAAGTACAAAGTTCATGATACAATAAGCCAGGTGGCCTGAAGTCTTTGACAGTGTCACATTCAATAATATAGTGTTCAAGTGTATGCTTTAAAGGTTTATCACAAAGTTTACATGCCGAGTGTTCCGGTATGGGTACAGTGTTACTAACTTGCCAGATGTGTCTGTATCCTAGCCTAATTCTGCCCACAACTATATCACATTGTCTAGTTCTGTCCTTATGCTAGCCGTACCGGTACCTCTTGTCACAAAATTTTTCATACTGTATTTACTAATGCTACAACTGCCAGGTCTCTGCATTTCTCAGTTCTTCTAGATCAGAGTTCATGATTCTGACTTGAATGTTTTCAAGTACAGCATTGGACAGGCCAAGGTCACGGTCAACATTTTCTTTCTTACATGCCTCATTGGCGAGTCTATCAGCACGGTCATGTTACCTAATTCCAACATGAGACGAAATCCACAGAAATTCGATACGAGAGTTGTTCTCAATGGCAGTTATCACATTTCTTTTCATATCACATACAACTTTAGACATAGAACCTGACGGGCTGTTCATTGATTTCAAAGCACTTTGAGAGTCACAGAATATCACCCCACCTCCATTTTCTTTGAGGTAGTCTGTGGCTAAGTAGATTCCAGTTAGTTCAGTCTGTGTTGTGCTGGCCCAGTTGTTCAGCTTTTGTTTGTTTGACACTATCATCTCTTTTTCTTTATATATTACAATTGCACAGCCTGTTCTACCTGTGTTTGTCTGCACTGAACCATCAGTAAAAGCATAACATTTACTTCATTTAATACTCTCGAAGTGTCTGTTAATAGTTTCTAGTGTGACACTTCTCATCACATCGGTGTTTAACATTTGCTTACTACCAATAGGAGTGTAACTAATAGGAACTGATATATCCAACCAAGGAGGAATGGCATTAATGGGTTTGTCTGGGGTGATTGGGACATACAGTTTCAAGAGATCTGCAACACTTTTATGAAGCCACGCCCCAAAGAGTCTTTTGTGGAAGGTTAGCGAGATAGTCGGGATTACTTAGATAGAACATCAACTCAGTTTGAGCTGTAGTTTTGAGACCATTGTTCTTCAAAACATTGACACAAAACATGGTATTAAGTAGAGCTATCCTTTCAGATAGGGAGGACAGCCTGAGCTCTTTCCTCATGTTTACAATTCTGGTTGATTTTGGGCATGGCTTCATTTTGCACTACCTCAAGGCTGTTGAGTTGTTTAGGCAGAATAGTCACAAGATGGAGAGCATGTTAGTCAACTACAGAACGAATGAAGTGAAGATAGAAAGTACGAGCATAGGCGATGTTACTTCCATAGCCCTTGCCAACAAGGGTTCTCAGGGGTTTAATGTGCTGCATTAGTTTGGCACGAAGGTTGCCGACAAAGTTTGCATCATTCGCACAAATTCCAAGATATTTATAACGGCTACATAGTTCCAAGGGCATGCTGTTAATGTTATAGTCAAGAGGCAGAGGGTGAGCAGGACGAAGATTGAGGACCCTCGTCTTGTCAACAGATATTATGAGACCACATTCCACAGTCCTCTGAGTAAATACATCCACCAAGGCTTGGAGCCTGAGCTTGGTCTGTGTCATACTGCAGATATCATCAGCATAGCATATCACAGCCTCGTTTGGCTAAACTGGAATGTCAGCAATAAGCTTGTGCATCAGTACAGCTACCCCTCAACTTACGATATACTCGACCTACAACCACCCGGACATACGACTGCCTCAGTCGTACCAAAATTTTGTCAAATTACTTATTTTCGAGTTCCAATGTTAGTGATACTGACAAAATTTTCGTTTGTAATTCACTTTAAAATGGCTGGCAAGCTTAAAGGTGAGAGTTTTGTGGTGCTGAGAAGAAAAAGAGACACCCATTTTAGATTTTCTATAGTGTATATTATTTAAGCATTTTCGATTTACAACCTGGATTTGGGTCCCTAACCCCGTCGTAAGTCGAGGAGCAGCTGTATATTAAAGAGCATAGAACTTAACACTCCTCCCTGAGGTGTGCCAAGCTCAAATGTACTCGTTCTGGTACTTTTGACTCTAAACAGAACACTGGCATGCCTGTTGGACAGATAACCTTTTATCCATGTCAGGAGGTTGCCTTGGATGCCAAAATTAGCTAGTTGCTCAAGTTTAATGTTTATTAGCTACATCAAAGCCTGATTTAAGGTCTATGAAGGCTGTTTGTGTCTTATCTTTTAAGTGAAGAAGATATTCTGCAAAGCATGTCTGTGTTCTGCACCCAGGCATGAACCCATACAGATTAGGGGCCAGTTTGTCTTTTGACTTGAAACATGAGACGGTTGAGAACAACTCTCTCAAAGAATATACATACAGGATGTGAGTGAAATGGGCCTGAAGTTTGGAGAGTTAGCTTTAGGAATTGGTACAATGTTTCCTTGAGTCCATGTCTAAGGCAGAATACCCTGTGTGAGGTTCATTTGATACAGGTCAAGCAGTGCATGTTTAGGGACCTCATTTAACATCCTCAGGATGTTATAGGTTATGCCATCCTCAGGGGGTTTTCATTTGTAAATCAAAGCATAACAAATTTTATTTTTCATAACCGCAAATATTCATAAATTAAATCCTTTTAAATCAGGTTCTGCGTGCTATGTAAAAAAAATTTACAGGTATACAAACCAAATAATTTTTTCAGCCATAAGTAGGATGAAGAACAATCCAGTTGGACCTACTGTATTTATATGCTGATCAACTCATAATTTTGTTATGCAAATATTGGACAACATCTCTCATAATTGGTGCAAGTGAATATAGTGTCTCACTTACTTGATGGATCAGATGACCTTAAAAGAATATAATTATCCCTGATTTGGCTACCTGTTTTCTGTGATAATATTACACTAATTTGGAAATATATATGGATAGTTCAAACATTTATTTTTACACATGCCTGAATATATACTGTACTGTAGATGAAAAAAACAATGTAAATACCTGTATGAGGGTTTTATGGCTTGTGCAAGAATGTTGACAAAATACTCCGTAGAACATGGGTCAATAACAAGGGACATTTAAGATTCTGCCCGAAGAGCCAACCTTTTTCAGGTGGCCTGATTTGTCTAGTGACCATCATACAATACTGCCAAAAAGAGACTCCACCAAGGGAGGAAAGAGAGAGAATCAGGTCACTCGTATCATACCTTCCCCAGTGAAATGGGTGGAGGTTGTGTCATGTGAACCAACCAATAGTACCCCACTTAAGGAATGCTGTACAAAACTTAAGAGGAATAATCTTACAAATTTTGCAGTGACATTGCAGTCCACATTAGGTTATTCCTCTTCCTGGTACTACAGTAATGTGAAATGAATATCTTTGCAAAAGATTGGCTTCTCATTGAATTTTACTAATCGGATATCTGCTTTATTAAAGGCACGAAGTTTACACTATTTTTCAATGAAGTCTCTTAGGGAGTCCTGCATAGGTAATAATGTCTACGCTGAATACACGCCAAATATGGTAGTTGATGAAATGGTATTTACCTGCTATTCATGTTACTTTCATTGGTATGTAACATGTTGATTGTTTATCCCAATTAGATAGGGAAAGGAGATGGGGATTGACCACAGAAACTAGGCTCCCTTTGAGTGGTTGTCTGTCTCATGTTGTGCAGTTGTAAACTCCAGACGCTAAGGTCTATCAGATATTGTAACAAGATATTATGTGAAGGCATAAACTAATTTTTGGATAAGTTCCCATAAGGTAGGCAGGTAATCCTTGAGAAGTTGTGACCC